CACACACACACACACACACACACACACAAGGATACTTCATACCTCAAGTCTAAGTCCTGTGCAGTCAGGTTAAATAATTTGATCAAATTCTCCCTTGATGTCTCAGGACGATATACCAAAGTGATGTCATCAGTGTTGTCATCTGCATGGTGACCCTCGCTATCTTGTTTTTCTCCGGGTTCAAATTCAGGCAGAGTTTTCACACTGAAATAACAACAGCATATTTCAACCTATTCAAAAGTTCCATGAAATACACTCGATGCAGAGTGGGCAATTTATTTTCTTTACCATGGGAGGAAATATCTACCCACAGATTTGTAACCTACATTTCCTGATTAGACACCCCCAATGTTAAAATCATTATATTTATTCCACGTTCAAGTCCGTTTACACGATAATGTACACCACACAGTCTTATTGGTTGCATCCAATTAGATAACAGGTTTTACTACATCGGCGGTAATCGTAGTAGTGCAATTTTTGTCGCTTATGTTAATCATGACTTTGAAACAAGTTCGTTGTATGCAGCTGCATAGAGATTGGAAACAAATGTGGGGAAAATACCTCACTTTTCATAGATCAGTCATAGTATTAAAAAACCCATGCCGATCATGCGTTACCATGCTCACTTGAACTTAAAAACTGCAAATGAGCTGAACATTAAATTACATTTTATTTCAAGTCGTTAGTCATTTCGCATGACAAAGTTATGAAAAATCTAATTAAGATCGGAAAGTTAACACCGCCCAGCACATTCTGGAAATTCGTAAGAGAATTTTCAATTGTGTACCTGATACTTATAGATCGTCTGAAAGGGACAGCCAAGATGTTTAAAGAACTCCAAGTACGGAAATGTTTATTTCTATGGTTTCACTGTTGCTGTGGCTTCATGTTACACAAATCAGCTTGGGGAACAAGAGCCTTTATTTCAATTTCATTAACTGACCTCTTTCTGAAAATATATTTGTGTAACCAAAATGATCAACTTCACGTTTTTGAAAACTTCACGTCTCGCCCGAATGGTCGATTGTTCACTCATCTATTTTTAAATGTGTTTGACATAATGAAAAAAAATTGCGTAGTCAAAATGGTCTCTACTCGAATGATATCTGCGTTTTTGATTTACAACCGGAGACTGAAAATAAAATCTTAAAAGCGACCTTCCTTAGGCAAGCCTGGGCAAAGGTAACTCTGGGGTTTTTCTGTGAAAAAATTTGTTTTATTACTAATTTAAAGTCATCGGGGTTTTGTTTTCATATCAGATCTTAAGTTTCATTCGAATGCAGGTTTTCATTGAAAAACTTCTCTTTTGCTCGGCGTCAAGCGGTTGTTTTATCAAAGTAGCTATAGCGCTGAAATATTAATATTCTGAAATGTTTCCCAAAGTGCAATTGAGTCTTTGTAACAGTTAATTTTATTTCCAAGTGAAACGCCTTACGCAAAACAAAGGATCATGGACTTTTTTTGACTTTGACGAAGTATCTATCAACTACAACAGTAACAAGGTCACCCTCTCGCTTTATAAACTAGATCACCCGGAATCCCCTTGGAATGCTCACTAAGCGAAGATTTTGTATTGAGACTGGAGTGTATGCAAACCTTGACGCACAACACTTGAAGTAGGACCATAAATCGTTAGCCAATGTTCTGGATGAACTTACCTCACAGCTTTAAGCATCAAGAGCATCACAAAAATTGCCTTCATCCTCAAACAGCAATGAGAAGGAAGTGGTCCTTTAGCGACGCCGACCTCGTGTTTTGTCTCCGTGCAACAGACGTCGCATTCATTTAAAACCGAAAGAAAACAAAGGATTTAACGAGTTCCTTCCTTACTCGATTGAAGATTTAACAATAGTTTTAAAAATGAGCCGCTTACATGAACTATAAAATAATGAATAAGTTTCATTTGTCACTTTCTGGTGTGAGAAAGCCTAAATATATTCTCTGCTTTAAAATTTTTTGCAAATTTCTTGTCACCTGCCTAGTTTATTTATAAATTTCTCAGGAAAAGTGCGAACATAAAAAGTTCTCTTTCCCTCATTTATAGCGGATTCCTTTTTTTCCTTTTTGTCAAGAAGGCAGTAATGAATTAAAAATGGTTGAACAAAATGATTAACAAATTATTTTTAAATGAATGAAAGAGTTTATTTTTTGTTTGGCGAGCACAACATGTCTTTCCCCAGAGTTCAAAACATCTTTGTTTATACCAAGAAGTCCGTTTGATAAGCAAAGAGAATTACAAAGGTTTTCCACCCTTTCCGATGCACTGCAATTGATTTAAGTAAAAAAAAAAAAAAAAACCTTAACATGATTGAAGTAGGGCTCAATCAGTTTTGTTTATCGTTGGTGGTGAGAATAACATACACAGCGAGGTAATTTAAAGAGATTGTAAACGTGGTAAACTAAGAGTACTTTTCAGTTGATCAAAGCACCAAAAGAAATCGTGCTCCAAGAAATATCCGAGACGAGACGCGGGCGTATTGAAAGTTCTTATTTAACGACTTCCTTGGTTTTGTATTGAAAGTGTTCTCGGTCAACTTAAATTTTTTATCGTTAATCATGAAATCTCGGTAATATTAAGCAGTTTTTCTAGACCGCAGGCTAGAAGCGGAATATCGTCAATCATTTTCAGTCGGCATGTTTTTTTTTTTTTTCGTTTTTTTCTTTAGACGAAAACGTTATCTAAAATAATAACCTGACCTATTTCTGTCATCCCATAGAAATGGATGTCAAATAGTTTGCGAATGTTCTGGTCGTTGCTGAAAACAACTGTTAAAAGTAAACTAGTTCTGGCTATACAAATTCATTTATAAAAGTTGAAAAATATCCATATTATTGATCGATCAGTTCGATTTGGAAATTCGTTGGCCCTTTCTGAAGGTACTTCAAATCATAAAATGCAAAAGCAAATAAAAGATAAATATCTTGTTATTCTCAGCTGAAGGTCTTTGTGTGAAACAGTCAAGACCGATCGCTCCGCAGTTTACTCTTCCCGTTAAAAGCTTCCGGCTGCAATTAAAAGCTCTTTTAAAGTTGCGTGTCTCGCACAAAGAGATCTTACCAGATTTTCATTAACGTATAGAGGGGGTTTTATAACAATGCTTCTGAAAAAAAATCGACTTAATTTGGGCTTCTTTTTTTTCTCACGATAAACAGTAAGAATTCCTTTTAATACTTGCTTTATTCGCGAAAGTAATTCACAACAATTCCTTTACTTAAGTCGAAGAAAAAAAAACATTTCTGGCGAGGTGTGCTCTACTAATGACACAAGTTATTTTCTACTTTTCAACCGGTCGAGCGCAAACACTATCATTAAACTGGCAAAATGTATAGATACACAAACACAAGAATTGGGTATTGAGGTAAATAAAAGCAGAAGATTTAAAAATTGTTTTATTGTTCCTCAGTGTGGGGGAACAAATGTAATCGTAATCTACACAAACTACAGTTGGTGCAGAATTTTGCAGCCAGAGTTGTATTAGGGTTAAGGAAGTTTGACCATAACTCTCAGGGTCGGAGATCTCTTAGATGGTTAGATGTTACAGAGAAAGTTTTATTTAATGACTTGGTTTTAGCATTTAAATGTGTAAATGGTCTAGCTCCAGATTATTTAGTTAAATTGTTTCGCAAGAAAATCAAGACGATCCACTAGCGAAGACTACTCGCAAATCGTATAACTGATTATAATTGTGTTTGCTGTGTTTATTCGATCTGAAATCAAAATATGATACAGTATAATCTACTTAACTAAATCAATTAATAAGAAAAACGAAACAATTAAACAAAGTGAAGCGAAAAAACTGATAGAAGGCTGTAACAATTATCGTGCCATGTAGTCAATTCCTCAGTGTCCTCATTATTCAAAAGCTTATATATTTGTTCTATACTAACAAACTGAAATCATTGACAACACAAGTAAGAACAATGTTCATAAACTTACTTCTATGGCGAGTTTTCTTGACCTTCCTTGATCGAGTTAATCATAAAACTGAGTTGCAGGTAAGCAGTCAATTACAGTGAACGTGTTCGATACAGATCTCGGGTTAAAACTAAACTCAAGCTGAGCTAAACATAATAGTTCACGCTTCCTTTTTGGACGTGTAAGAAACTACCGCAAGTTCCGTAGCCAAAATTCTTATCATAGTTCACTGACTACGTTAACATAAATATTTTGTTAAACGTTCAGCAGTCCACAATAAGAATACAAGGTGATGTAATAGTTTTGTGGTTCCCCGATGTAGACTGTCAACGGGAACATAGGGGGTTTTACTGCCGGGGTCGAAGGGAATGGAATGGGCTAGCTGAGAATATTAAGAATGTGAAAGAAATTGATAGTTTTAAGAAGACTCTTTTTAAAAATATGTTTTATAAGCAATAATTTTAGTTTAAATTGTTATTGTAAATAAGTTTAGTTAGTTTATTGTGACTGAAAAGCCCTGTTGAAGAGAGTTCTAATAAAGTTTGTATGTATGTATATGTAGGTATGTATGTATGCATGCATGCATGCATGCATACATGCATACATATGCATACATACATACATATACATACATACATACATACATACATGCATGCATGCATGCATGTACGTATGTCTGTATGTATGTATATACCGCTATTGTATTTGACTGCAGCTCTGCCAATCTCACCAAGAGATTATATGGACACAGAGAAGGAAGTTCCTACTTCAGGCTTTGGAATATGTTATTTATGGATAGTCGTAACCGGACCATCCCTTGCATTTGTTGACATCTAAAACTTACTACTGAAAATTGGGTTAAGAAATTAATGACGGTTTCATAGATAAAGCACGTGATGATTAATTATTCAGACTGACCAAACATTACAAATCCGATTTCCTTTGTAAAAACCATCATGAAATGAAAACCGTTGTAACAGAACACTTCCACATGTCACGTTTTGCTAAATCCGAAACGTTTTTTAACTTATTGTTTACTTGTACACGTCATGCTTCGCTTTTTGTTTCGCTTATGGATTTTTTTCTCACGGAAAAAGACTATAAATGAAAAATATCCGTTCTCTTCTACTAAGCCTTGGTCTCCTTTGAGTAAGATTGATTTATTGGGGAACAGCGATGAGATTTGTTCTTTTATTATCAAACTGACTCAGGCAATAACTATTCACTTCCGGGTAGCCGAAGAGAAAATCGCTCATCAAGAGTTCAATTTCCGACCATTTTTGGTGTATTTAAAAAAATAATAAACAAGTTATTCGTAGCTGTGTGGTATATACTAAGACAGTAATTTACGTCAAAGTGATGGATGTTTACCGAGCCAAGAGCCATAATTGTCCCACTTATGGCTCTTGCGAAGCCGCGAAGCCAACGCCCTAATTTTCCCTCTTTGCTCTCTTATGTTCTCCGGGTGACCTGCAGAGACTGAGTCCGAGGTGTTGCTAAATCCCATGACGCTTACACAACACATATTATTCCTGCTCCAAGATGGTGGACAAAGATGGACGAAACTTTCGTATATTATATTATGATACTCTAGGCTTACGAAACGTCGACCAAAGAAAAGCGTTAGAGATACTACTGAAAGATGATCCATTAGGTATTAAAGTAGTCACAGGTATTATTTTTATACCCCAAAGTTTTAGGAACTAAGTCCAGAAATATCCAAACTTTTTCTTTAGATGTACAACGCATTTCAACATTCAGCACTCGTTTTAGCTTGCCTGCAGGGTACAGAACCCATGTCTGGAAAGTGATTTTAGGTAAGAGTAATTTTTGTCAAATTTCTGATCATTATGAGTAGCCTGAAGGAAATTGTTTACGTTGATACCGAGCAGTAGAAAGTTTCGCTCGATGTCTCCTTGACGATCAGTTGTTCCAGTTAAGGAATCACTGAGATCCATCTCGCGCCTTGATTAGTCAAAACTCTATCGTTTATTACACCGCCGAAGCTATTTAATAGAAGCGATAAAAAAACTGCACATTCTATTGGTTAACTAGGCTAATAACTCCATTATGGTGGGAAAACTTTCGAAAGTTTGTTAATCGCATACTATTCTCGGGTTTCTTCCAAAATCTTGCATTGGTTATTACAGGAAACCAATAAAAAGTGAAATTTATTGCTTAAATATAGCATCACTGCATTGCTTCCCCTGGTACCCCGTGAGATTTGTCCAATGGACTAAGAGAACCTTTTGAAATGTCTTTAAATTGCTTAAATGCTGACTCCATTAAAATTAATCCTGCAAAACCCTGAGAACAAGGGCAATAACTCATAAAGTGACCTGGAATTCAAACTTTAAAAATAATTCCATTTATTGATAACAAAATGATTAATTAATAACAAAATTTCCAGAGTATCGCTAATTAATTGGTCTGATTTTTGGTGTAAAAGTAAAGCTGAGGCTCCCTATGTTAATTTCCAAAAGGTGAGTTCCTTTTTGGAAGCAATTGACCAATAATAGTAATATACATG